TCTCAAATAACAACCATATGAAAGCCAGAAAAGAACAAGAAGTAAAACGCATGTAGATAATAGAGTCAGTGAATGATTTCTTGTCAGAATTTTTCCACATCGCCCTATGAATATGTCTATACAGAGATGCTCTGAACATGCCTTTGTCCAAGTGCCCAAAAGCCAGGGTTTATCATAACATTCTCTTAACTTAGAAATTAAAATCCTATAATGACCTTTCGAAATCTAGGATAAATTGGAAACATTATCAAACAAAATTAAAGTTACATCTGACTTATCAAAAGTTTTTGGGTTAAATTTTTTATTTTATTTTATTAATTTGGCGGGGATTTTAAATTTAATTAATATTTTTGATACAGATGTTTCTCCTTTTTCCCCCACTGATACCCCCCTCTCTTCCCACCCCACCCTGTCCCCAGCTTTGTTGTCCATGTCTATTTTTCATGCATACATGCATATAAGTTCTGTGGTTTATCTCCCCCCCCCACCTCCTCTTCTGAAGATTGTCAGTCTGTACCTCACTTTCATGTCTCTCGGACTACCCCATTCCTCAGTCTGTTATGTTCATTAGATTCCATATATAAGTGAGATCATGTGATATTTGTCTTTCTCTGCTTGGCTTGTTTCACTTAGGATAATACTTTCCAGGTCTCTCCATGTCATATTAAAGGATAAGAGATATTTATTTCTTACAGCTGCATAGTAATCCATTGTGTATATGTACGACTGCTTTTTTATCCATTCATCTACTGATTAGACATTTGGGCTGTTTCCATATCTTAGCTATTGTAAATAGTGCTGCTACAAACATGGGAGTATATATATATTCTTTCAGATTGGTGTTTCAGGCTTCTTAATGTATATTCCTAGCAGTGAGGTCACTGGGTCAAATGGCAGTTCAATTTTTAATTTTTTGAGATAACACCATAGTGTTTTCCAAGTGGCTGCACCAGTCTGCATTCCCACCAGCAGTGTACTACTGTTCCCTTTTCTCCACAACCTCGCCAACACTTGGTGATTGATGATTTGTTGATGATAGCCATTCTAACAGGTGTGAGGTGATACCTCATTGTTGTTTTAATTTGCATGTCTCTGATGATTAGTGATGTTGAGTATTTCTTCATATGTCTCTTGGCCATTTGTATGTCCAGTTTGGATAGGTGTCTATTTAGCTCCTCTGACCACTTTTGTTTTTTTTGTCTTTCTTTTGTTGAGCTGTATGACACTCTCTATATATTGGAAATTAACCCCTTATCTGATATATCATTGGCAATTATGCTCTCCCATAGAGTGGGTTGCCTTTCCATTTTGGTAGTTGTTTCATTTGCTGTGCAGAAGTTTTTGAGTTTGATGTAGTCCCATGTGTTCATTTTCTCCTTTGTTTCTGTTGCCTTAGGTGAGGTATCATTGAAAATCCAGCTGCATATGATGTCTGAAATTTTGTTGCCTACAGTTTCTTCGAGGATTTTTATGAATTCATGGGTCATGTTTTAGTCTTTTATCCATTTTAGTTTATTCTTGTTTATGGTATAAGTTGGTGGTCTAGTTTCTTTTTTTTGCATGTAGCTGTCCAATTTTCCCAACACCATTTATTAAAGAGGTGGTCTTTACTCCACTGTATGCTCTTGCCACCTTTGTCAAATATTAATTGAGCATATTGCATTGGGTCCATTTCTGGATTCTCTATTCTCTTCCATTGATCTATCTGCCTGATCTTGTGCCAGTACCAGGTTGTTTTGATTACAGTGGCTTTGTAGTATAACTTGAAATCTGGTAATGTGATCACTCCAGGCTTGTTCTTCTTTTTTCAAGATTGGTGTGGCTATTCATGGTCTTTTATTGTTTCATATGAACTTTTGAAGTATTTGTTCTAGTTCTGTGAAATATGTTGTTGGTATTTTGATGAGGATTGCATTGAATCTATAGATTTCATTGGGTGGTATGGACTTTTTAATGATGTTAGTTCTTCCAATCCATGAGCAAGGTATTTGCTTCCACTTTTATATATTTTCCTCTATTTCTTTTTTTAATGACCTGTAGTGTTCTGTGAATAGGTCCTTTATTTTTGGTTAAGTTGATTCCTAGGTATCTAAACTATTTTTGCAGTGATGGTAAATGGGATTGTTTTTTTAGGTTCTTTTTCATCATTGGTGTATAAGAATGTTGTCGATTTCTTTATGTTAATTTTATATCCTGCTACTTTGCCAAATTCATTTATTAAGTCTAGTAAATTTTTGATGGAGTCTTCGGGGTTTTGTACGTATAGTGTCATGTCATCTGCAAATAATGACAGTTTCACTTCCTCCTTTCCAATTTGGATCCCTTTTATGTTTTCTTCATGTCTGATTGCTGTGGCTAAGACTTCCAGTACTATGTTAAATAAGAGTGGTGCAAGGTGGCATTCTTGTCTTGTTCTTGTTCTTAAGGGAAATGCTTTTAGTTTCTGCCCATTGAGTATGATGTTGGCTGTAGGTTTTTCATATATAGCCTTTATTATGTGAAGACATAATCCCTTTATTTCCAGATTACTGAGCATTTTTATCAGAAATGGGTGCTGGATTTTGTCAAATGCTTTTTCAGTGTCTATTGATATGATTATATGGTTTTTATCTTTCATTTTGTTTATGTGGTACATCACATTTATTGATTTGTGAATATTGTACCAGCCTTGTATCCTTGGAATAAATCCCAGTTGGTCATGGTGAATAATTTTTTTAATGTATTGCTGGATTTAATTTCTAGTATTTTGTTTAGGATTTTGGCATCTATGTTTATCAGTGATATTGGTCTGTAGTTTTCTTTCTTTGCAGTGTCTTTTTCTGGTTTCAAAATTAGAATTATGCTCACCTCATAAAATGAGTTTGGAAGTCTTCCTTCTTCTTGAATTTTTTTAAATAGTTTGAGGAGAATGGGTATTAGTTCTTTGAATGTTTGGTAAAATTCTCCCGTGAAGCTGTCCAGGCCTGGGCTTTTGTTTGCTGGGAGAGTCTTGATTACATCTTCCTTTGTTGTTATTGGTCTGTTCAAGTTTTCTATCTCTTCCTGGTTCAGTTTTGCGAGAGTATGTGTTTCTAGAAATTTGTCCATTTGGCTTAGATTGTCAAATATGTTGCCATATAACTGTTCATAATATTTGTTCACAATCCTTTGTATTTCTGTGGTGTCAGTTATTATTTCTCCTCTTTCATTTCTGATTTTGTGTATTTGGGGGTCTCTCTCTTTGTTTCTTGGTGAGTCTAGCTAAGGGTCCATCAATCTTGTTTGTCTTTTCAAAGAACCAGATCGTTGTTTCATTGATCCTTTGAGTTGCATTTTTGGTCTCCATGTCATTTATTTCTACTCTTATCTTTACTATTTCCTTCCTTCTACTTACTCTGGGGTTTTATTTTTGTTTGCTTTCTAGTTCTTTAAGTTGTGAGGTTAGACAGTCTATTAGAAATTTTTCGTGCTTCTTGAGATAGGACTGTAGTGCTATGAACTTCCCTCTCAGAACTGCTTTCGCTGCCTCCTATAGATTGTGTGTTGTTGTGTGTTCATTTTCTTTGGTTTCCAGGAAGTTTTTAATTTATTCCTTGATCTCCATGGTAACCCATTCATTGTTCAATAACATGCTATTTAGTCTCCATGTTTTCAAATGTCTTTGCATGTTCTTGTTGCATTTGATTTCTAGTTTCATGTCATTGTGATCTGAAAAGATGCTTGATATGATTTCAATCTTCTTGAACTTGTAGAGATTTAGTTTGTACCCCACCATGTGGTCTATCTTTGAGAATGACCCATGTGCATTTGAGAGGAATGTGAGTTCTACAGTTTGGGGGTTTGATTCTCTGTACATATCTATTAAATCCATTTAATCTAGTGCTTCATTTAGAGTCTGTGTTTCCTTGTTAATTTTTTGTTTAGATGATCTATCCCGTGATGTCAGCAGGGTGTTGAAGTCCTCTGCTCTTATTGTATTGCTGTCAATTTCTCCTTGGAAGTCCTCCAGAAGATATTTAATATATGTTGGTGTTCCTATATTGGGTGCATATAAGTTTACCAAGGTTATATCTTCCTGTTGGATAGATCCTTTCAATATTATGTAGTGGCTTTCTTTGTCTCTAGTTATGGTCTTCATTTTGAAATCTACTTTATCAGATATGAGTATTGCTACCCCAGCTTTTTTTCCCTTTCCGTTTGCTTGAAAGATTTTTTTCCATCCCTTCACTTTCAACTTATGTGAGTCTTTTGTTGTGAGGTGGGTCTCTTATACTACCAACCAATATGCCTGATAGTGACAGTCAAAATTGACGTCAGACACAAGTTGGTTTTGCCTTTAAATTTCTTGCTGTTCAAATGTTCCTTTAAAAATACCATTAAAAAGTTCTATTCAGAAAATAAAAGCAGTCTTTCTACTCCATCTCTTCATGTAGTCTTCCAGATAACTTTCTCTTCCATAAATGTCATTTTAGATTGTCACGTAGCAATACAAATATACCAATAAACAATGCCTTGCTATATGACTCGTCATGTAGAAAAATTTCAAAATAAATTCCAAAACAATCAGAGTGGCACTGAGGAGGGCCCATGGTCATTAGCAGTACAGATGAAGATCTCGAGGCATATGGACACTTTCCATGTAAGAATGTTTTACCAATATGTTTCATTTATAGTGAACTTAAGTAAGCTGCAATCATTCCAATGTTTCTTTTACTGACGTATATTTTGGTTGTTCCTCGTTAAACTCAATTTATTACGTACTTGCTTTGTTTGTAAATTAGAGAATTGGAATAGTTAAAATCCAAGCAGTAACTTTTTCCAAAGTTTCACATTCAATTTTGATTGTCATTGCCAAACTACTGTTTAAAATGATATGATTAATACTTTGATCAATACTGGATAGGACCCCTTTCTAAGAAAGTTTCACAATGTACATTTCATGCAACTGAGATACAAAACTTTTCACATTATCACATAACATTCAAATATAACAATTAACCATAGTTTTGGAAAAGTTTCAGAAAAATATGGAACACTTCACAAATTTATGTGTCATCTCCGCGCAGGGGCCTTGGTAATCTTCTCTGTATCGTTCCAATTTTAGTTTATGTGCTGCCCAAGCAAGCACGTGGTTAAGTTTTTTAAAGATCAATTCATTCATTTTGTTACAGATGTTTCTCCTTCCCCCCCCCCACTGACACCCTCCTCCTCACTCCCGTCCCAGCCCCCTCCCCCACCTTCACAGTATGATTGTCTGTATCCTTCAGTTGGGCATATATGTGTATAAGTTCTTTGGTTTCTTTCTTCCCACCCTCCCCCCTCCTCTTCCTATGAGATTTGTCAGTCTGATCCCTACTTCCATGTCTCTGGGTCTATTTTGTTCATCAGTTTATTTTGTTCATTATATTCTTCTGGTTAAATTTTTAAGGCTTCACAATTATTGTAAAGGAACAATAGTTCTCCTCACTGACATTCCCGGATCGCTGCTGCCGGCCTCATATCCACATCGAAAACGCAAGACCTATGTTCTCTTTCAAGTGAAGTTGACGAAGAAGCAAGAGGTTGGAGACAACTCATTGATTCCCTCACACTCCACTAGTTTCTTTGTTCTCTGCGTGTTTTTTCTCTTAAATCTGTATTAAAATGATTGACCACGGACATGGCTTTTACGTTTTTCCTTCCCATAAAGTTTTACGTTGGCAGCCTTAGCCAACTTTTACCTCAGCTTCACAACAGGTGAGAAATCACAGAAGAAATTGTTTGCGGGAAAGATTTGCACTAAATGGAATTAAATACCTAAGAATCATGTAGAATTCTTGTTCTGTTTAATTTATAGTTATTACACAAAAAACTCTGCAAATATTGACGCTAGTATTATAATGTATGTAGTTTAATGTCCCTTATTCTGTTTTCTATTGTTTAGCATTTTATAAATATTTCTTGGTTAAAAAATTATCATTCTTTCAAAAGCTATCTGGTTGATGCATTCAAAAATGAAGACTGTAGAGACTAATACCTACACCAAGGGATTGTTCAGAGATGGGATTCCATGTCACCTGTACCTGGATGCTTAGAATAGTTACGCACACGATTTCTAAAAGTAGAAACAAACTGCATGCCTTCCAGCAAGTGAATGGAGAAGCCAGGTCACACTTTGGACACTTTTGAATCCTTTGGCTGATTCACAGAGGCATCATGCTAAGTGAAAGAAGGCAACCTCATAGCTTTACATAACATGACTCCACTTATATACCGTTCTGCCACAGACAAGACTACAATGACTAAACATATCAGTGGTTGCCAGGAGCTAGTGATAAAGGGAGGTTGTGTCTACAAGAGGACAGCAGGAGGGAAATTTGGGGGGATAGAATGAACTGTTGTGTGATTGTTGTGATTATCATATGGATCTGTATACTTTTTTTTTTTTTTTTTATCCTCACCCGAGGATATTTTTCCTTTTTTTTTGTACAGATAGAGTGGGAGGGAGAGAGAGGAAGGGAGAGAGAGAGAGAAACGTAGACATGAAGGGACACATCGAGTGGCTGCCACCTGCACGACCAACCAGGGCCGGGGACAAACTGCAACCGAAGTATGTGCCCTTAGCGGGAACCGAACCCGGGTCTCTCAGGACCGCAGGCCGACGCTCTAACCGCTGAACCAAACCGGCCAGGGCGGATCTGTATACTTTTGAAAAAATTTATAGAACTGTGCCCAAGAAAAGTCAATTGGACTATATTTTAATTAAAAAATAAAGTTATTTAAAAAAACCAAAAACACAATAGTTTTTGTCAACTTTATCTAAATGCATTCATTTATAGCAGATTCCCAGTCTCATTTCTTCAATTCAGGGCAGAGAAATCAATAGGTATCCCTTCACAGAAAACTCATCAGCACGTATTACTGACTGGTGCCCCAGTTCTGTTTTTTTAAATCCTGAATACCTATATATTCTTTTCTTCTCTTACCAAATGACTCCCTTCTCTAAAAATTACACTTGCTAGTCATTAATATCAACCTCTAAATATAACATTTGAGCATAGAAAATAGCCTAATGTTTCTACAGTTGTTCTTTTATGTGCGCTTTTTTGTTGTATTTGATTTATCTCTTTCAGCAGACTTTTATATCATCAAAAGTAAGTATCAGAAAAATCACAAAATCTTAGGTTTGGCAAAACGATAATTTAAAATATTGTAATTTATCCTATCAATATTTGATTTCCATCTGAATTAACATAGTTTGTGAAAGTCCCTGGAGTGTGTACATTAAAGCAATATCTTTCCTACTGATATCTCTGTCTGTTAGAAAACTCTTCTTTTTATTGATTCAAAAAAGTCATCAAATATTTATTGAGCAACCACTAATTCTTGACACTGAATTTTTAGAGCTAAGATTCTTTGCAAGAAGTGCCATTCATTCAGTAAATATGTTTATGAAATATGTGAGGTATGTATTTATTTTAGCCATGTAGGCTGCACTAAGTCCTGGTGAGACCAGGCACAGATCAAGAGTGAGAGTTACGGCAAAGAGTTTCATAGACTTGGTGCGTGGCTGTTGTTGTTCTAATGCACCCAGTTCCCCAGGGAGAAAGCAGAGGGCCACTCCGAGAAGCACCGGTCACAAGCAGAGGGAGGGAAGGTGACTGTGAGCAAGTGTCTGTCTTTGGGAATGGAAAGGTGAGGAAAGGCAGAAAGGTTCAGGATTGGCTCGTTTGAAGAATGCAGTCTCTAGTTGTCTGGAACCTAGCCCTGGGGTACTTCAGGTGGATGTGTAGTGGTCAGGAGCGTGAGAGCAAGCGAAGGGAGGAGATTGGGGAGGAGGGGGCGTGAACTCAATCAGCTGCTCCAGAAAGGGAATTGACCAGCCTCTAGCAAAAGCCTCAAAACTAAGTCAAGACAGCGTTTTTATAAATTATCTGACAATACCAGCCACATGTAAACCCTGAGGAATCTGTAGATTGTCTCTTTTCTTTATTAATTAATTTATTTTTGTTACAGATGTTTCTTCTTTTTCTCCCTTTGACACCCTCCTCCAAATCCTGTCCCAATGCCTCACAAGATTGTTGTCTATGTTCATTTGTTATGCATATATGATTATAAGTTCTGTGATTTATCTCTTCCCTCCCTACCCTCCCCACTCTTCTGAGGTTTGTCAGTCTGTACCCTGCTTCTCATGTCTCTGGGTCTATTTTGTTCATCAGCATGTTTTGTTCATTATATTCCACAAACAAGTGAGATCATGTGATATTTATCTTTCTCTGACTGGCTTATTTCATTTACCATAATACTCCCCAGGTCCCTCCATGTTGCATCAAAGGATATGAGATCTCTCTTTCTTACAGCTGCATTGTGTCCCAATGTGTATATGTACCACAACTTTTTATCCACTCATCTATTGATGGACACTTGGGCTGTTTCCAGGTCTTAGCAACTTTAAATAGTGCTGCTATGAACATGGGGGTACATATATTCTTTCTGATTGATGTTTCAGGTTTCTTAGGGTATATTCCTAAAAGTGGGATCACTGGGTCAAATGGCAGTTCAATTTTTTTAATTTCTTGAGGAAACACTATATTATTTCCCATAGTGGCTGTACCAGTCTGCATTCCCACCAGGAGTGTACTAGAGTCCTCTTTTCTCTACACCTTTGCCAGCACTTGTTGTTTAATGATTTATTGATGATAGCTATTCTGGCAGGTGTGAGGAGATGCCTTATAATCGTTTTAATTTACATCTCTCTGATGATTAATGACTTGAACATTTTTTATAGGGTTCTTGGCCATTTGTATGTCCTGTTTGGAGAGGTGTCTATTTAGGTCTTCTGCCATTTTAATTGGATTTTGTTTTTTGTTGAATTTTATGAGTACTCTCTATATTTTGATGATAACCCTTTATCTGATGGATCATTGGCAATTATGTTCTCCCATATTGGGTCTCATTTCCAATTTGATGGTTGTTTCTTTTGCTGTGCAGAAGCTTTTTAGTTTGATATTTTTAGTCCCATTTATGAATTTATTCTTTTGTTTTTCTTGCCTTTGGGATTGTATCAGTGCAAATTCTACTGCGTGTGATGTATGAAATTTTGTTGCCTACATTTTCTTCTAGGATTTTTGTGGATTCACGAGTCACATTTAAGTCTTTTATCCATTTTGAGTTTATTCTTGTGCAAATGTTAATTGAGCATAATATCTTGGGTCAATTTTTGGGTTCTCTGTTCTGTTGTATTGATCTATCTGCTTGTTCTTATGCCAGTACCAGGCTGTTTTGATTACCATGGATTTGTAGTATAACCGGATATCCAGCATTGTGATCCCTCCTACTTTGTTCTTTTTCAAGAGTGCTGTGGCTATTTGGAGTCTTTATTGGTTCCATAAACACTTTTGTAATATTTGTTCTAGTTCCATGAAATATGCCATTGGTATCTTAATGGGGATTGCATTGAATCTATAGATTGCTTTAGGTAGTGTGGACAGTTTAATGATGTTAATTCTTCCAATCCATAAACAAGGTATATGCTTCCAGTTGTTTATATCTTCCTCTATTTCTTTTTGTAATTTCCTGTAGTTTTCTCAGAACAGGTCCTTTACTTCTTTAGTTACATTTATTCCTAGGTATTTAAGTTTTTTTGCTACAGTGGTAAATGGGATTGTAATTTTAGTTCCTCTTTCTGTGGGTTCATTATTGGTGTATGAGAATGTTATCATTTTCTTGATGCTAATTTTGTATCCTGCTAATTTGCCAAATTCATTTGTTAAATCTAGTAAACTTTTGATGAAGTCTTTAGGTTTCTCTATGTACAGGTTTCTCTATCATATCAGCTGCAAATAATGACAGTTTCACTTTCTCCTTTCCAATTTTCATCCCTTTTATTTTTTCTTCATGTCTAATTGCTGTGGCTAAAACTTCCAGAACTATGTTAAATAAGAGTGGTAAAAGTGGGCAACCCTGTCTTGTTCCTATTCTTAAGGGAAATGCTGTAGTTTTTGGCTATTGAGTATGATGTTGGCTGTAGGTTTTTCATATATGGCCTTTATTATGTCGAGATATGATCCTTCTATTCCCAGATTGCTGAGTGTTTTTATCAGGAATGGGTGCTGGATTTTTTTCAAGTGCTTTTTCAGCATTTATTGA